ACAGTGTCATGTAGCCTATGCCTTCAGATAAAACTAAAATGTTTGCACAAAAATGTGTGCAGGATTTTTTTTTTTTTTACAGCAGAGGGCTACTGCCTCTACACAAAGTCTGGATGAGTGAAGGAAGAGGAACATTGTTGTCCTCAGCAACATGAGTAACAGCTGAAGTGCCCTGCCTTCGTTGGGTGCAGTGATTTCAGGTATCCATTATACCAAGATATCCATTAAATATCTTCTCTCATGAGCCATGTAGAACAAGTGAAATAAAAATACCTTCTCTGGCAGTGAATATATAACCCAGGAGCCAAATCAGCAGGCAATGCACTTTCTCTATCCTCTGGAATCATTACTGATCTGATTAACAGATAATAATAATAATAATAAAAACAGAAGGGGTGGAGGCAGTTTGGAGCACAGGATCAGAATGCAGACTGCAGGTGGCCAGTTGGAAAAATGGGCTGAAATGAGGGATCCAGAAAACCTAGGGGATGTACATGAGTCAGTAATTCCACTCAATAGCCAAATTTTGGAATGCCATATGAATATGGAATGCCAAATTTTGAGTGCCATATAAGTGCCATATTTAAGAGGCACCAAGACATGGCTTCACCCTACACAGCACTGGCACAGCACATACTGGTGTAAACTTTTGAGAGCATTGCACTGCCAGAAAGAGGAACACAGGACTATAGGAAGTTCAGAAAAAAGCAAAAAATTAACAGAGGTCTAGAAAACATGACCTCTGAAGACAGATTGAATGACCTGGCTTTGTTTAAAGTAGAAAAGTCTGAGGGGAGGCATGATAACAACTGTAAAATATGTAGAGGGTTGCTAAAACAAGAAGGTAATGAATTATTACCTCTGTAACTAATGAATTAAGACAGAGAATAATGGGTTTCAATTGCACCAAGGGGATATCCCCCCTGGGGAGGCTGTGGAATCTCTGTCACTGGAGGTTTTGACCAGCAGTTTAGACAAACATCTTTCATGAATGATTTGAAATGCTTTGGGCTGGTGGGCTGGTCTTTGAAGATGATTTCCCAGGGGGTCTTCTGTGACTGGATGACAGAAGCAAAATAATAGTCACATTATTTTACACCTTTGTACTTTGGAACATATTTTCATCCAGCAAAACTAAACCAAAGAAATCAAAAACTCTCTCTTGTTTGGACAGAAGGGAAGGCGTGAGTTAATTTGTTTAAATTAACTAAGACTTAAGTGGAACTAAGAATTAAGTGGAAATGTTTTGTTGTGGTTCATTTCATTTCAGACACAACGTAAAACTAATCTGGAAGGTCTTAGTCTGGGAATGGAATGTATATTTCTATGTTAAATCAAATTCATCATAGCTATAAATCTAATTTATGACACATCATTTACTCTGTTTGGTCCAGTATCTTTCTTTAACGACATTCAGTTTTCATGAAAATATATATAAGGAAGACCTTCAGTTTAAATGTTTTTAATGTTTTAATGTTTTAAAAATTAAACTAATTCTTAAATGAAGGTGGGCTTTTTAAAGACATTATATTCACATGAAACATAAAGATTTAACATAAACCAATAAACATCAGTGACTTCTGTAGGCCTTCAAAGGTGTATTCAGCTTTTAGATTCTATACCGTTTTGTCACCAAAATTTTTTAACACAGGTCTACTGTTTCCCCTTCAAAGTTACTAAAAAGCTTGAGACAGTTTACACCTAGCAGCACCTTGTTTACAAAAATAAGCAGAATTACTCTGCTTTTAATGAAATAGAATTCTGAAGAGCAGAATTTGGCTTAAGTGATCATGGGAATGTTGGTGGGTAGAAGTTCAATGCAGACAATAAGATAAAAAGCAGTATCTCCCAGAAAAACATCTTACATTGCACTTAAAAGAGATTTCACTTTCAAACCTGCAAGGATTTCAGGGAAGGTCCTATTTTAGTCTTTAGTTTCTGTTGCTCCATGTTTTTGGACTGCCACTCATGCATTGAAGCAAGGCATCCTAAATTAGATTTTAACAGAAATTCCCTACCACTTCATTTTTACTTATTAGGCACATGCCAAATTTTTTAAAAATAGTTTTATGTATTTTTATTGATATTTTCTCTTTCTGAAATAAAATACCGTGAGACAAATAGATCTATTCATTTTTAAAAGTGAAAATACAAGGCACAACACAGTTCTAAAGAGATAATTTGGTATGATTAAATGAAAATATAATGGAAGAAAGAAAATAATAAGTGCTGCTGACTACTTCCAGATATTCCAGGATTATGTAACTTTGTATCTAAATGCAATGATCATGTATAATGGAAAGCAATATAGTCTTGGAGAATACATCCAAAAAGCACTTTTTTCATGGTTAGTTATTGAAATAAAAAAGGTCAAGTGAAAGCAGAGATGGCGGGCTTGCTCTTCCCCTCCTCCTGGCAGTGCAGCCCAAGCTTGCCCATATATTTGATTCTATGCAGAAAACTGGGTAGTACCTGATATTTTGCAAACCACTTAATCCCAAACAGTTTTTAACAGCAACTGCTTCAGAACAGTGCTGGCCACCCTGCTGTGCTTTCTGACCTTTACAGCACCAGAAAAAAACTGCTGTGTAAATCCATTGTAAGAATTCTGTGGCGTTTGGTAGATGTTCAGCGGGGAAAGTCCCCCACATAACAGCACACAGAAAGTCACAAAAACACCACTCTTCCCCCCAGCATATAGGACATTCAAAGACAGATGACACAGCAGATATTTAATGAAACTAGACTATTCTCCTGCCAGCTGTTTTCTTCACATATTACTACATATTCCTTCAAAGCAAGACTTCTATTCTTAATCTATTTGGAAGTTATATTATAATAATTTTTTTTTTCCTAAAAGCAGTTTGAAAGCATACTCAAAATTCCTGAAAATGACCTATTAATTATTTACATTTGCAGCTGTTTGTGCCAATTTTTTTAGATGAAGCATGCTATCCACCTTAGCTAACCAGGAATCTTTCCCATCTGCTTTTAGAACTTTCTAATTTCAAATAGCTTTGTCCTTAGAACAGAAACTGAACATATAAACTGTCACGTTTGCCCACTAAAAACAAAAAGGTATAGATGGTGCTTCTGTGGATACACCCTTGTGACTTTAACTCTTTAGTAATTAAGTATGCCCTCCTGCATCCTTCTGTCAAAGAGATCTCAGAAGGATTACTATTGTGAAAATTACAGTGATTATGAAAATTCTAAATATAATAAGATGGTAACACCATCCACCACAGTTTTTTCCTCCTATTTGCCATTAGAAAATTTTTTTTCAAGCACTTAACTTTGCCAAACTTGAAGTGTGTCAGCTAAAGTTTTCCATTCTCAAAACCACAAGCATTCAAGCATTTATGAGTTGTTCAGGGGGGATTTTTTTTCTTTCTTAAGATGGAAAAAAATTATAGTGAATTTCCATTTGAAAAGTTCTAGTGCCTGTGTGGCAGGGCAGACTCTCTGTCTCTCCCAAGGGAAAAAGGGGTTAACAAATTCTTGGGCTATGGAAGAGCTGCACATCTGCAAGGGCTGGACAGATGAATGTCTCTATTCAGCATGGATTGATGATGTTGTGGTCACCGCCAAAATGCCCCAAAGATTTTTCCTATCCAGAAAAAGTCCTTTATAAAAGTTAGCAGAAAGCAGCATACATCTGAGTCTCACTTTAAGGAAAGAGAGATAACACATTATGTTTGGAAGAAGTTCCTCCTTCAGAGATCAAACTAGCTCAAGATTAGGAGGGGTTTTGGGGATACACACTGTCTGACTGGGTAATAACACCATTCAGTTCTAGAAGGTAAAAAAGACCTAGAATATGGAAGTATTTCCCTCTTGTTTCAGTCCAATGGGGATTGTGACAACCTCCATGCTTGCAGCAAGAATTCATAGTTTTTCCAAGTGTGTCCTCTGGCTTAAACCTGAGAATATTATTCTTCTGACATAAAAATGTGGTGCTTTTTTAAAAAAAAGTAATAATTACAGTTCATACCTCTTCAGCAGATGTTTCAGCCTCCCTGAAGAGTCAGTCACTACTAAGTTGCAACCCATGGCTCAGAAACACTTTACATACAAATACAGCTATGGGGTATCTTCTGTATTTGATAGTGACTCTTGATGTGGAATTCAGAGCATGCAGATGAGAAAATCAGCTAAATTAAGGTTGAAGAAGACCATCCTGAGGATCACTGCGGTGAAAATTAAATAAATCTTGCTGATAATTTGCGGGTTTAGCATACCAGCATTTAGCTGCAACATAGAGGATGATTTCTTGGTTAATCTGATTTTGAATTGAAAAAATATTTAAAAGTATTGAAGTGGGTTGTTATACATTTGTTCTGATCATACAAAACCTGATTCTGATATTCAGAGTTCTGATGAGTATGATCTGGCTTCACTACACTGCTATAGTGATTGATAAGATCAGTGTTCTAGAGAATACCTGGATATGATACAGCATATCCTACCAGTGTCTGATTTTGCTCAGCAAAAACCTGCTAATTCCTTTACAAAAGAATGTTTTAATGGGAACTAAACAGCTTATAAAAATAACTTGATCAACATATACTAAATATTACAAGCATTAATTAAGGAGATCAATTAAATAAAACATTCTTTTTCAGTACTGAAAGTGACCTGGCTTTACTGATTGGTGTTAAAGTGGGGGTAGTAACTCGAATTTTTCTTTTTTTTTTTTTTTTTTTCTTTTAAGTAATCTGATTAATAAATTCTGTTCTAGCAAGTTTAACTTTGAAAAGGCAGCACAATTTTGCAAGGAAAAGAAAAACTCAGTCTCCTTTCACTGGTCACACACATGATCTCTACTCTTAGCTTAAATCTTTTTTCTAAGAGCAAGACAAGTAACCTTGTCTTAAGACAATGTTAAGAAGAATACAAGAAATTAACCTTTTTTTCTGATAATTTTATTTTCATATAATTTTAACATTTTTGAAAATATTTAACAGTTATTTCAAAGACAGAAATAGTTTATTTTAAAGAGAAGACATTTGTCACATATTCCCTAAGGAATTTACAGAATGCAGTATAAATAGTAAACCAGTAAAATTCTGTCTTCAAACATCCATGCTAATTCCAGTAACCCCAAAAATGTATAACAGAAGGACTCTCATGGCATTTCAGAAAGACATAAAATCCTTCTTTCTTTCAGATAAATTTAAAAATTTGTCACAAACAGATCTAGCTTTAAAAATTGAAATTTGTTATTTTACTTGCATTTCCAGTCTAAAGTGGTCCTTGTCTAGCAAAGCACTACAGAATGCACCTACCTAAAAGAACCCAAGAAGAACTTTGGAAGCCACTTCTGTAGTGATTTGCTAGAATGAAGTCAGAATGAATAGTCTCCTCCTTTTTGTGGTCTTTCACCCTTATTTTTGCAATAAATGTAACAGACTGTACAACAGAAAAACTTTGAGAACAGCTTGAGGAACTTCCTGAAAATAAAATCAGAAGAAAACTGTAGTTTAAAAGGGAATGTTATGCCACTTGCTTCTGGCCAGTTACCAGTCTCCTTTATCTCAGCAAGTCGTTATTCTCAGAGTACCATGGCCAAAGCTCCACAGGTTGGCAAGTATCAGGGTAGAAACAATCGGAGTTTGCCATCCAAGGTGGCTGTGGTGAGCTGCAGTTCAAAAGAGAAGAACATATGGCTTTAATGAAGATCTTTCCAGTAAGCACAGTTTGCTTTAGAGCAACAAACCAAATGAAGATCATTAAGAAGATATTTAAATTACTTCTATGTTAAGAGGTCTAGGATTCATTAAAAAAAAAAAAAAAAAACAAAAACCTAGACTCTTCTCAACCAAGCTAATCTGAAAATTCCATTTCACTTAGATTTTTATTTTCCAACTATTTTCAAATTTGTGTCAACATCCGCTAACCCATCAACAGTCTGTAAAACTGAAGCATATGTTAAAACCACATAGAAAGTCAAACAGACTTCACTGTGTATGACTCAAGAAGGGAATATGGAAGAAATAAGAAAACGAGCTGGAATAAATGAAGATGGAAAATACTGTGAATTAAATCAGGCATACCAACAAATACAGTTTTCTGATTTTTATTGGTGTTAAGTGTAGAGTAAGAATTTCCTTTGTAAGAAAGTATGCTGAAAAATTTTATGAAGAGGCAAGTCTTGAAGACATGCATAAAGAGCCTTCAGCTGCATTAGCTTTCTTTCACCCTGCTGAGAAGATCTTAATTATAAAATAAGAGGCAATACTATTTCCTACACTTATTCCTACAAACAAGCACTTGAAAACCTGCTCTATCTCAGAAAAAGATGATCTACAAATGACACCACTTATTTGTCATTAAAAATTCAAAGTACTTGCTCCTTGCAAACTAGGATTTACAGTTATTTCTCATCAGTGATAAAAAATCTGAAGGGCTGGAACCAAACAGGCCTCTCATGCTCTGACCAGTTCATTTGGCATAGTTTTTCATTCTCAATTTTCTTGATCTGTTTTCTTTGATACACTGACTCATTTATTTTATTCCTCTGGATAAAGGAACACTGTGGTAAATAAATCATCTTCATGGGTTTGTATTCCCTCATTCAATTCTTCTAATGTCTCGTGTTATCTCCCAAGACTTATTTTCTTTTTTTCTTACTCTCACTTACATAACCTGAAATTATAGAATATCCAGAGCCATCCAATCTAATTTCTCCAACTCTAATTTTAACAGCTATCCAAGATAATAACATACTTCCAAAGACTTCTAATATGTCTGTATCTACCTCTGCAACTTACTATTATGTTTTTATTTAACACAGACAGCAACTAAGCACCACACAACTGCTTACTTACTCACTTGCTCCACCACAAGGAGGATGGGGCAGAGAATCAGGACAATAAAACTGAGAAAGTTTATGGGTTGAGATAAAGACACTTTAATGGGACACAAAAGGAAGAAAATAAGGATAATGTTAATGATAATGATAATGATGAAAGAATTATAACATACAAAACAAGTGATGCACGATGCCTGCCACTCACTGACCGATGGCTAGACACTTTGCAAGCAGATGCACTAACCCAGATTTCCCCTCAGTTCATATGCACTGAGCATGACATCATCTGGTATAGAATATCCCTCTGGCCAGTTTGAGTCATCTGTCCTGGCTGTGTCCCTCACTTCTTCTGCCCTTTCAGCCTTCTTGCTGGAGAGAGCAGGAGAAGCTGAAAAATCTTTGACTTGGTAAAAACACTATTTGGCAACAACTAAAACTTCAGTGTGTTGTCAACATTATTCTCATACTAAATCCAAAACACATCAGGTACTAGGAAGAAAAATAACTCTGTCCCTGCCAGAACCAGGACATATTGGAAAGATGATGTAAATGTAAAATACCCAAGAAATGTGTCCTTTCTAAATTTCTGTAGCAATTTATTCTGTGAGCGGGAAAAAAAGAAAATGCTTTTATCATTATTTCATGTTATCAAAAGAAAACTAACATAACCTAAGAAATCAGATATTAATTCTGTTTTATTAGAGGAGATAATATAGAAATCCTCCTAAGCTTTCAATTTAAAATAAAATAATTTTAAACAAAATGAAGTTTTACAAGACTTAAGGTGGTCATCTTGTCCATCTTCCTGCTCTCGGTGCAACTACAGAAAGCATTAGATGAGTGTAGCTATGGCTTTGTCTGGCTAAATATTGAAAAAATTCAACGAAATTTTACAACTCATTCCAGTGTTCAAGTGCCTTGTCAGTTGTCTTTCAGTTCTTTTCCCTAATGTCCAACCTGAGCCTCAAAAACTGCAATGTGTGGTCAATCCTCCTATGACATCCTCTGACAGTACTGAAACACAGCTTGGCTTCTGCCTGCTAAATGTATTCACTACACTGCTATTACATTCTGCTTCCAGGGACCTTCTGTTTTCATTCACCACAAAAAATTATCTTTCTACTCCACTAGCCCCCTCCACACTTTTGGCAGCACCAAAACAATCAATGAATTGTTGGCTGAACTAAAAACAACTACCTTCTGGCTTAAAGATCCTTCCTTGGTCATGTGCTCTAAACTGTTGTCTCTCGAGTCCTTCTCCTTCCTTTCCCCTGTCTCTTCTGAGAAGTGTAACACTCAACATTTTGCCATGAACAAAAGGTACATATCTATATACAGAGCCAGTAGTTTTTATGTAGCCCAATCAGTGCTTTAAAAGCCTAAAAAAACCCAACCAATTACTAGATAGTTAACACTTATAATACCAAAAATGCCTAATTATTAAAAAAAAATTTCATAAAAAATAGAGGGTTTGATGGGGTCAATTAGTCATTAGCATCCTGAGTTCTCTCAGTGTTAATGGTGATTTTCATCATCAGAATTAGTTTTTTTCTTGGGTTATATATTTAGACATTATATGAGTTAATGTAAACTAGCTCTGGTTCAATGGATTGAAAGTCTTTTAGTACACTGAGTTCATCTTCTGGTTCGATGTTGTCAGAGACAAGCCCAAAATGTACCCTCACTAAGGATACAGCAATGAGAAGTAAAGCTGGATAAGCAGGGACAGCCGGGAGACTCCAAAGCACATATCTGACCCAAACTAAATTGCTAATACACATTCACAGGGTGTCCAGTTTAGCCTTCAGATTTTAGAATGAATTCCTGTGTCTGACTGCTGAAAGAGCATGTGCACTTATGTAAGTGGCACACTTTGTAGAATCACAGAATATGCTGAGTTGGAAGAGTCTCATGAGGATAATTGAGTTCAACTCCTGGTCCAGCACTATCCCCAAGAGTCACACCATGTGTCCAAGAGCATTGTCCAAGTGCTTCTTCAACTCTGCCAGATTTGTGTTATATTTTAGGCAATACAGAAATTTTAGTTAATAGTGTTATAGCAATAAAATAACAAGCTAAAGCTAATTACAAATTGTATTGACACAGATAATAAGAGTTACTGAAAAATCTAGCCTGTAGAACCCTTGATATTCCTGATTTATCACACTTAAGAACTATTAAAATGGATTAATAGCGTTCTCAACCGTATTTAGAATCCATAGAAATTTCAGTAAGATTTTTTTTTAAAAAAATTAACTTATGCCAGTATTACATTTCCAAATAATGCAAGCATGTTACTTCATTCAAACCCCTCAGCTCCTAAATATGCTACTCCAAAACTGTGTTTTACATTATATTTGAAATCTCTATAGTAAAGTCAATATACTACTAACCATTAAAAAAGGGAAAAAAACCCCAAAAACAAACCAAACTCCCAAATTATGTATTACAATTACATATTCAAATCTTGGCATCAGTTCTGTGAATACTTTGACCTATGTAAAGGTTTCCTATGGGACAAACACTAGAACATTATGGAACATTATGAAAGTGTGGACTATTTTCTCTATTGATGGATATAAGAGGGAAGAAAAGACCTTCAAGTAGGGCAGAGGAGAAGTTCAAAGTTCTGTGCATTTTAGAGTTTTTTTTTAAAAAAGTCAAGCTTTTAAAAGGACCTATGACATTTGGCACCAGAACGGGGAGGAGAACAAGTTCTTGAACACAGCTCTCTTCTACTTCATGGTCTGCACAACATATAAAACTTTATTGGATATTAAAGCTTAAAGCAGTGACATGAAGTGTTGGAAGGCTTTCAGTTAACAGTATGATTTTCAAGACATTGTCTACTGCATTACCTTTAATATTTACACAATATATATTTTTTTCTAGAATTACCTTTGCTTGGAGGGAAATCTGTTTCTGTAGTGATATCACACCGAAAAAAAAAACCAACCCAAAAACCATCCTGCAAATTAGAGACCTGGATTTTTTTTTTAAGGCACAAACACAAACAGTTGAATTTGTATAGAAATGCATCAAACTAATATTCTGTTTTAATATTTCACACATTGCACGTATGTGTATGTGTATGTGTATAGATATAAATATATATGTATATATACGTGTATACGTATACAGGGCAGGCTTCAAGACATCATGTACTTCATGAAATAAGAATCAAAGCAATTTCAGCTGGTTTCACATTACAGGTACATAACATCTTTTTGCTTTCTTTTAGTTTGTATAAGTATGCATAATATGCAAGTAGAGACACAGATTTTTAACAAGTCCACCAGCTGTACAGCAAAATGTATCATCTGGCCAAAAGTCCAGTATCTAAGCAGAAAAGATGGGAATACAGTTTTTAGGCAGTTAGTATTTTCAGATTTCATTATTCAAACTATTCTATGAAAATAAGAGGCCAGAAATAGAACCAATGCTCTTGAATTTTGCGTTTGTTTCACAACTATCAACAAGCAAGAGCAACAGGAAAAGGAGACATTATGGAATTGGACTTTACTATATTTTTCCTGTTCAGAAAGTGGAGTCTAAAGCAACGTAGAACTCATCACCTTTACTCCTGAAGATCTATAGTGCATAAAGGCTTTACCAAATCAAAATTAGAGTTGAAGCCAGGAACAGAAGATATGTAAGTAGCACTTTGGAAAGATTTGTTTTCTTGAAAGATAAGTGTTTAATTTGACAGCAGCACTCCTAAGCATTCAATTAGTTAAATTGAAGCCACATGGTTTTTTTGCAGAGAGAAGGCAGAAGCTTTTATTCTTAAGACAGCTCTCCTATTGCAGAAATGAGAATTGAGGAGA